TGGAGTTTAGGTCAGGGTAACAGGGTTTTTTGCAGCATTGGAATACACTAAAAAGAATTAGGGACTTCATGGATAGTATGAAATACGAGGATATTCTCCAGAAGGGCACTGTAGTAAGACTCCAGTGAATTAAATTTGCCTGTAGTGGGAATATGCAAAAATGGCTGGGACAGAATTCCTCTGACAAATATAAATCCATTTAGTACGATGCATTATACATTAGTGCATATTCGGTCAAAGTGGTACAGTGGGTTTCATATCCTGAGAGGAAATAAACTCACTATTCTACAAATACTGTAAGAGGCACTTAGTATTTTGGGTTAAAAACGTGTGCTTTACATTTTCATATTATTCTGATGTCAGAGGATATAAATTATAATTATTGGCATTATTATTCAGAGGTGCTGTAGCTAGTGACTTTTACATCTGAGTCTCACTTCCTTCGTGTCTACCACATTGACTTGCTGGTATGTGACAAAGGAAATCTTATATCAGTCCTGTCTGGCTAGTTTAGAACAGTTTTCAGGAATAAGAAAACTGGCTCAATAGATCAGATACTTGCATGTCTTTAAAGTGTTTATTTTAGTGTTTCCTCTAAGTTTTCATTCTCTGACAGCTTTGAAGAAAGCATATAGATTTCAGCATGGTATTATGATAAACCTTCTCGAGGAGGGGCAAGCATTAACATTTGTGTCGGTTCTGTTTCATCTTAATCCAACCTTGGTTAATAATCAGAAAATTCTACATAGTGGGTAAGAAGATGTAATTAACCCTTTGACCCCAGAATCTTAATTGGCGCCTGTTGTAAACAGTGGGGCAGTTAAAAAAAAAATTAAGAAGTAGCCTGTGGTGATTGAAACAGCATAATACATAATGGCTTTCTGAAATCAAAAGTACTAGGGAACTTCAGCTTTAATCACATTTTGCATAAAACCAGTAAGTGTGGGTTTAAACAAGAAGTTACCAGGCTTCCTTAAACTGGATTGTGCTCAGAATTGGCATTGGGATCACCCTGACCCTTTTTCAGCTGCCACACTAGATGGGATAGGACTGAGTTTATGACAGTCAACTTCATTTGTAAAAATAAAAAAGAAATGAACTCAAGAATATTTTCCTAACAGAAGACGCTCTGCCTTTATATTCATGGCCGCTGCTTCAGCAAAAATAGGACATTTTATGAAAAACCAGTTACCTTTGCAGGCCCTATTTCTATATTATAGTTGATGATAACTGTGGAACATCTGAAACAGGAATCCTATCTGCCTTTGAAGTACAGTGAAACTGTTCAGAAATTCTGGCTGGAAATTACACTGTGGCGCTCGTTTTAAAGGAGAGATTTGAAAGCTGACTAAATCCAGTACCCTTCTCGCATTTCTTGTGTCCTTAGATATACATAGGTAATATGAATAATACTTCCAGAGATTTCTCATTAAAACAGAATTGTTTGTAAATAGGTAGTACACAATGGTATCACATACTCTTCTTCAGTATATAACATAACCTCTGTTACGTTGCCTGCCACCTTCTCTGAAGTCTGCTGCTCTCTTGGCATGCACAAAGGACGTACGCTTTATGAAAAATTGAAAAATTTCAACACGCATTACTTAAATAATAAATATTCATAAATAATACCTATGAATAACGAATGAGACAGTCCTTCAGAACTACTGTTTGACCTGTATAAGGAAAAACAACGTTGTCACAAAAGTGGTCCATCTCAGCCCTTTCATATGGGTGGGAGGAACTGCCTTGCATTGGAAGGTGGCTATTTCTTCCCCTATTTTTATTGTCATTTTTCTCAGGTATTAGGACTTGAGCTTAGTACTTGGGGCCTTTTTTCTAATGTCTTTGTTTTTTGGGCATGGAAGGAGTTAGCTGTTCCATTAGCTATTAATCAGTGGCTTTTTCAAAATACGATTAAATAAACTTTCTGATTTTGCTCTATTGAACGACATGTTGAATTCGGTCAGTATTTGTACCCAAGCATAACTTCAGGGAGGAGGGAAAGGAAATGGAGAAAGAAGGACTGACTGTGGCTTAGTAGTCTCAGTTGGCATAATAACTAATTTTACGGCATGGGAAGTGACTAGTCACGCAAGAAGCCAAAGGAGTTGTGGGTATGCTGCATTGGCCCTGCCAGTCCATCGGTGGTGCCTCCTTAGTACCTCCCTTGTAAAACTCGGAGGCAAAAGTAAGGAAGTCTCCCAGAAAGAAAGAGAAGAAAAGGGTAAAGAATTAAAACTGTTTAACTGAAGGAGAATTTCAGAGTCGGTGGCATGGAAAAGTAGCAAGTGCTTAAGATGTCTCACACTTCTCACTTTAACACTCTTCTCGGTCGCTGATGACTTTCCAAACGTTAGCCATGAAGGTTGAAATTTCTTTGTACAGTTGTGTCGGCCAGAGGTCATTTTATTTATTTATATTTTTCCAGCAAAACTGGTTTCAGCCAGTTCCAAGACAATACTGAGGAAAATATTTCTGCCTAATCAGTACTAAAAGCTTTCTTCAAACTTTTGTTTCATTAAGAAGCCTGAATTTCTAAATAAGATGATGTGTAGAAAAGAAGCAGGAAAGCCATCAGTGACTCAGAGAATTATTTTTTGCTGTTCTTACAAAATTCTATCCAGATATGCCAGATAATTACACAGTAATGCAGCGTACTAAACAGAACAGATCATAAATGTGCTCCAACTGTATGTAACTCTCTTGAGTAAAAGAGCAAGGGGACCATGCTAAAAGCCTGGAAATGTGAAAAACTGGGAAGAGGAAAGTTGTTTTTATATGATACACAAATAACCTGTGAAACTTCTTTCCTCAAGATATCATTAAACCAAGAACATAACAGGATTCCAAAAAAGAAAAAAAAAGTCTTGAGCACACTAGTTATAAAAAAATAATTATAAGGAATATCAGATATCATGGGCATGCCAACTAGTAACAACCTGAGGTTAGAAAGAAACTTCTAGTAGGCTTGTCATTACCTACATAACCATTATGGATATTTCAAACACTGTTCTGAAGCATCTAGGTACACACTGTCAGACCCAGGAAAACCGACCACTGCAAGTAGGCCGTTAGTCTGATTCAGTATGGCAATTTATTGTTGCTTGTGGAGAATGGTGTTCTAGCAAGAACATATATAGGTGGCCAGGGAATCAGGGTGACAGTTCTCAGTTTTATTTCTACCAGAGGATTAAACCAATTTCCTCAAAGGAACATGGGACAGAGCATCAGGAAAACTTAAACCAAGACCTTTAAAGATTTACTCTGCTGATCTTTCTGTGACAGGGAAAGTGGACAGTAGCAAAAGAAATTATACATAGTGGAGGAGATGAAATGTGTAAAGGTTTTGATTGTCCTTGTATGTATCTAAGTTTGAACTTCACTGTTCCAAATTTTCCACCTGTTATTGATGTTAAAATTCAAGGAACTGATGTTAATCATTTGAAAAGAAATGATGATGATTTATAAGAGGCCATAAATGGCTTGCATAATATAAATGTTTTTACATGAAGGAAATCTATGCAGATTTACATTTTTATTAATTCATAAATATAAATTAAAGTCTTTCTTTAATGCAGTGTCTTTCGTGAGGGTTTGTTTTCCAATATGTGGTTTATTCTTTTTAGAAAACACTGATTTTTTAACTAATTCCACCACCTACTACATCAGAGAGGGGTGAACACTTGCCAAAGAGCTTCTGACCAGCAACACGATAGAAATTAATCAAGAAGCAGAAGAATAAAAAAATTAAAAACCCTCAGAAGTCACTGTTCTGTATTTGAAAAGGAGTGAAATGATTATATGACTTTGTCATCATATAGTTCCTTCAAATTTGTGTGCATCTCTTATTTTTTCTTCCAAAACCAGGTTGATCTCTCAGATGCTACAGTTACATTTTTAATTCACCCACACCTTTATCCCAAGGGGATATTTGGGATGGGATTTTTTGGGGTTGTTTCTTGTTCATCCCAACATTTGGGGTGTTTCTTATTTTCTGAGTTGTTTTAGCATTCCTAATTTCTGTAATTTTGTGATTTTACTTTTGCAATAGTGAATGCTTGTTTGCCAATAATCAACCTCATAAAAAGCATAAAAGTAAAGGCACATACAGTGTGTGTTTCTTCCTAGTGAGGGTTTGCTCTTATTCCTAGAGGTATATTTCCATCTTGATGTGCAGTGATTTACTCCATGTGTCAGTTTAGAATATAGTCCTTTGTTTATTAACTGCACTCATGTTTCAAAAGGTATGCATTAATCTGTGTAGTCGTATTTTGATTTTTGCAGTTGCAATGGAAACCACATCCAAAGACTTGAACCTGTCAAAATAAAATCTGATCTAGAGTTTTACACCAAAGGGATGAAATTCGTAACATTTCTATAGACCTAAGCTGTAAACATATTTGGCAGTAATCTGCTGATTGGCTTTGTTTGTTGCCTCACAAAAGGAAAATGGGGGTGGGGGGTGGGGGGTGTGCACACACGCGCGCACGCGTGTGTGTGTAATCCTCAATTAATTAACAAATTATCAAGGTCCATAGTGGTTTGAGTGATGGTAGGATTTTATTTTATCTTTCTCAGTTTTTGGAAGTGGAAATTCTCTGCTTTGATTCTGGGGAATGGGGGGGATCTTCTTACATACCATTTGATTGGAAGGTTATTTGTTTTCCTTATTTATTTCTTCCTGTAAAAAATTGAAGAACATTTTATTTTTCTGTATTTCTTCTGTCATGCAAATGAGAGAAATTTTATACAGTATATGGCAGATGTAAGCATGACAATAAGTCCTTGAACTTTGGAATATACTCATATGCTGTTTGTTAATATGTAGACAGAATATAAAGGAATTGTCTTAAGGATTCAATTAAAAACACTCTCATAGAAATCAGAACATTTTCCTCAATTTGTTCTGTGATGCCTTTGTTTGAATTTACTTCTATATGGAATTCAGAATTTATTATTAATCTATTCACTTTTTTCCCCCCTCCCTTACTTTGTAGTCCCTGGATGGATTTGTATTTGCACTAAACCAAGAAGGAAAATTTTTGTACATTTCTGAAACTGTCTCCATCTATTTAGGCCTGTCCCAAGTAAGTACATGCTTTTGATTCTAGAATGTAATTGTGTATTATGTGTTCTTCTGTTTATCATTCTTAAAGAAATAATAATTTGGTTTCTGTATTTTGTGTGGAGTATTCAATTAGTTATTTAAAGTTGCATCTGGTTCATCCTGAGAAGTAATTGAAAAACATATCTATCAGTATTGGATGTTGCGGTAAGACAAACTTGTGCCTGAGAACTTTTTGCCACGAAGGATCATTATTAATTTATTGAGAACAAATGAAGTTTCTTTTCTCAGTTGTTTTGAACTTTAAACCTCTATACCTGATAGGAAAGGGACACACTAATAGTACTTCCCTTGTGTCCTATTACTGGATGTTTATGGAGTACCCTGCATTATCCAGGGAGCTGACACGATGACAGGGAGTCATTTGGAGTCAAGAAATGCTGAAAGAGACCATTAAAATGTCTTGGAGGAAGGGTTCCAACAAGGACACATTTTGCCGCTTTCACAAATGCTCACTAATATGAAAAGACAAATTTATAAAATATAATAGGGTTTTTTTTTTTTCGTTTAATTTCTGACAAATGTTTTTCAAAGATTAAAAGACAGGACAAAAGTGGGGGGAAAGTTGCTTGTTGATGTTTGTTCCTAATCCTGCAGCATTCAGAAATGTTTAGGAAGGGTAGCTTCTTTCTGCTTGTGCTTAGAAATGCAGCAGAAAATTTTTGCATGATGATTTTCTGAGTAGGATAATCTACTTCTATTGCAGTCACCCTGACGAGAAAAAGAAAAACTGAGATAATAGTTATTTCAGCTGCTTTAAATTGGGACCCATACTGCTATGAGGAGGCAACTATTAGCACTGGCAACTGTCAGTTTTGCTGTACCCCAACAGCAATGAAATGGGAAATTTTAACATTTGGTGCAGAAAAAGACTAATTTTAAATATTATCTGGTGAGAATCGGAATAGAGGTTCATTAACTCCTCAAAGAACATGCAAGCAATTGGCTGTAATAAGTTCAGTAATTGTTATTTTGTGCTGGCTTTAGCAAACCAAATGATAGAAATGGAAACAGCGTTTCTAACTCATATCAGTATTCTTGTCTCTCATTGAAATCCCTTGTTTTGTAATAGACTTTAATCCCTGCCTTAATCTGTTTGGGAGTTAGTATCAAGAATCTCAAATTCTGAAATTGGTGCACCACCATGTTGCTAATACAGTAAAGAATTGGAACTTTAATGTTTATTATTGTCTTATGCTCATATTAATCTGTTTTATGCATAGTATCCAATGAAGTTTAATAAGCCAGTAAAGAAGAAGGATGGATAATTAGTTTAAGCAGGTAAATGCTAATTAGGAAACTCCTGAAAGGCATCCATTATGCACTAGCTTAAAACAAATTTTACAGCGCTGGTTAGTGGCGTAATCCAAATTCTGTCAAGGCAACTGCATTTTCTGTAATTGAGATGTGTATGTTTGCTTTGCATAACAGATGGCTCTGTATGCTTAGACTGATAGCTAGGAAAATAATAATTGCATTATTCTGGCCAAAAGAATATTAGCTCTTGGGTTTTGGCCATTTCAGTCAGTCCTCCTGCCAGCACAGCATATGCACATATATGGATTGGATTTTCAAGGAAATTGATGCATCTGGAATAGTGTGGCCATCTGAAATATCATCTGTTCAAGAAAAATTTGGCTTTAACCCTATGCTAGTCTCTTGTTAAAAGCATTTTCTGCCACTGTCTTTTCAACTATAGGAGTTGGTAAATCTTTCCTTACTCTGAACTTACATCATGTTAAGACTTTACACTTCATCTTGATCCCCATATACATTTCAAGCAAGGGTTCAGATAAATAAAGCAACTGTCTTTGCATGTTAGAGTCTTTGATACATCAGGACAAGCATTTCCTTGCATTCACTACTGAAAGTATTGATGGAAAAACTACCAAAAATCAGAACCAGGACTACGGATTTTAATACGATAATAGATGAAATCTACCGAGATCTACTAAAATATCTGTGATTTTTGCTGTTCTTCTCTTCTGTCTTTATGGAGACATTTTGTACTCTCCAGACCTACTGTATTTCTATTTTTAATGTATTGTTCTCTTGGTATAATATTATATAGCTAGGTCTCTTAATAATGACAAAAGAAATGCTGTAGCTACTCTTCAAAGTGTTATTCGTTACAAAAAATATTAGCAAGAATATCCATAAAACCATTTCTCAAACTGTACATGGAAATGCTACTGTTTGCACTACAACAATCTTAAAATACTCGTGAATTCTGAATTTCTGGAATCGTGCTATGTGATACATGTGGTGTTGCATTTCTTGCACTGCAGGTAGACATTGATAGGTCCCTATCCTGATACTCCCCAACTATATCTTTATAGAGAACCTCTAGGTAATCTTGCACTTCAGAAAGTCTGGATGTACATTATAAGCATTTTTATTTGAATCATCTTCTTCAAGTGCTGACTTTGGAGCCTTACTTTCTAGTCAAATGACTTCTTAGAAACTTCATCCGTGTTTGGTTGGGTTTTTTTTCTTTTTTAACTGGTACGCATGGAAATAATGTACAACATATTCTGTACTTGCAAAGCAAAATCTCATGTCTCACAGCTAAAGGAAAATAGTTCTTGTACCGAATCTCAGCAGGTGAAAACAGTTTTTCATGGAACCCAATTTTTCTCTTTTCTGAACATTGAGAGCCAGTGGTACAAAACAAATGGATGCTGATGTTCGAAGATAGCTGCAGGGCTAATAGTAAAGAAATCTGATAAAACAATATCTTGGGAGGTAGCCTGGCAATGATGATAATAAAGTTACTCCTGGCAAAAATAAGAGTATATTTGAACAGTAAACAAAAATTACAATACTCTTTTGACATTACAATGAACGTAACTTGCATGTAGACACCCATTAATATATGTTTTGAACACTATCTTTCAGCTAATGCTAACCAAGAATTTTAAGTTAGTTTGGCAGACGTGGATTTTAGACCACACTGTGGAATTGCAATCAGAGCAGTTTCAGAGAACACAGATGCTTTTCAAAGTGGAGGAAAAGACACAAAGTTAGCTGAAAATAATGAGTGAGAGAAGGAAGAGAGTAAAAGCAACAGAAATGGGCCAAAATCTCCTGGTTATATCCTTAGTCTGTATAAATTGTCATAGCTCAATTATACTTGGGGCAAGCTGAAATAGTCCAACATACTTTCCAGTATTCAGTAGTTTCAGGAACTGCAGCATTTGTTGGAAGACCCAGACATGTCTAGAAACGTGCAATACAGCCAGGATTTCTTCCCTGGGTTGGACAACATGACCTGTGATGGTGTAACTTACCCTTTTGCCAATACAAACAGCTTTTTACACTGCACCTCTGTAGTGATGTAAGAATGTTTTGTTTTCATATATATCTATTCTCTGACATTTTCAAATCAGCAGGTAATTTTTTATATCAGGGTAACTGCCATCTTTTTGAGTAGCCAGTCCCTGAGTTCCTTTTAGAAATGGGATGACATTTCAAAAGTAGATGGCTAAAATGAGTCAGCATATCTGGACATTGAAGAGGCACTCGAATCACTCCTTCAGGCACTTAGAAGTCAATATCAGTGCTTACCTAAGAGATTTCAATTCTTTTGCAAAGTCTCTGTGTTTGAGACTTAGGCCAAAAATATGCTGAAACACAAATAGTAACAAATAGGGAGAAAAATCCGTCCAGAACAAAAGATAAAATTGTCAGACATATGAGATTTCAGGGTCAATGGAAAATATTATGGGCTGATAAGCTGGCTAGGATACTTTTGCTTTCAGGAAACAAGTTCTTAATCACCTCTCACCAGCAGTTGTACTCAAAAAGGATATTATGCATTGCTTCTCCTCTGTGAGGTCCACACCTTAAAGTAAAGTATTTCCTACCCTTGCTCCTACTTGTCCAGGACACAGACCAGGTTTGCAAATTGGCCTGTTGGAAAGAGAGCTCACTAAAAAGGAGCAGTGCAGCTGCAGGCATAATAGGAGATAATAGAGATGAAGAAGGAAAGAAAAGAATAAATTGTTGAGATTTTGTCCTTTTTAAAACAAAGCAGGCAAAACCAACAGGTATATTCCATGTGTATTGCATTACTGGTAGCATAACCTATCTCCTTATTTTGGCTTTCTGTGCATTTGTTCTATGAAATGGCAAATAAAATTATAGCTACAGCACACAAGTACAAGGTCAAATAAATGACAGTACTCAGTCTATTTGTGAAGCTATTCTGAAAAGGAACCATGGTGCCAAATGTGGTTTATTTGAATAATAAAGAAGAATTAGATTCCCCTGATAACTTGGCTGAGGGCCAATAAATCACTGGAGGTTAAGAATGCTTTGCAACTGCCATGTATTTCTTTTGCTTTTACGAAGCACAAACCTCAACTTCTATGCTCTACCTGTTTTTCAATGCAAATCTAGTTGAGGTTAGTAGATGGTTAAAGGATTGCTTTTGTGCTCTGTTTGCTTAAAAAATAATATGAAGCAATCTTGACGCTTGCATTCATGCTGTAAGTTCTACCTTATTTTCCCCCTGTACCATTATCTAAATAAAAAAAAAATAATAATATAAAAAAAAATCCAAGTGAAAAATAACAACAAAAGCCAGGAACTTCACAGGAAAACTGCAATTTTTTTAAGCAAATCTAGACAATAACCGATTGAGAGAAGAGCTTGGGGTTTTTGTTGTTGTCATTGTTTTAGTATTCTGAATTAAATACTACTATGTAGAATGATAATTTCTGCTCATTTAGTAAATTGGTGCACTAGCATTGATAATTTTTTAATAGTTTGTCCCCTTTAAAAATTAGTAAATAAAAGCCTGGGAAATTCTGTGTTGGTCATGTGTTTTTTAAAGAAGTTTTTTTCCTTAATGTTCAACATAAGAAAGTTCATTTACTCTTATCTTTCATGCTAAAAGAAGTGAGCAAGGGAGGAGCTCTATTGAAATAGAGTGGTTCTGAGGATTTTGAGAGCAGTAAG